AATTTGGGCTTACATACCATCCTCATGTATGGGATTTGCTGAAAAAAAGAATAGGCCATTAATGGTGATAATGTTAAGGTATTAAGTTTGTAAGGAGAATTAGAATTTAACACCAGTTCAAGGAAGTGTTAGATGTAGGGAGTAGTACATTTATGAAAGTAGAAGTGCACTTTTGTGGTTTTAGTGATTTATTTCATGTAATTTCATAGAGGTAATAAACTTGTAACTAATTTCATAACTACAAGAGTAGGTATGGATTAGTTATAAATATAGTTGATTCACTACAAGAGTAGATTTCACATATATATAAAAAAATTATACCATATTTAATCAAGATAATAACATTCAATTAATTGGTAAATTCACTTGTAAGAGTAGTTTGGCATTATATGATCCTAGGAACTTTCTGCCATTATTTTTACTAATTTTGTTGTTTGTTATAGTGTAGATTTAATTTTTTGTACTTTTGATAGTCTAAATAATAGAAAAGTTTTAGTAGAGCCAATATTTGTCCATTATTCCTTGTATGTTCGACCTTTAATATTCTATACTCAATCACAATACTTGCAAAAAATTGTGTATAAGGTATTTAAAATTTTATAAATGAAAATTTTGATTGTGCATTGATCTAATTTTTATATGTATATCCCACGTTCATCAAGTTAATAACGAGGCTGCAGTAGAGCTCCAAATGTAGGGAAAATTTTCTCTAGACAGGAATAAAATAGATATTTTCTTGCTTATAATTTAATCATTCATGTTGTTATATTTGCGTCGAGAGTTAACAAAATTAAGTACACACCCATTCCTATCTACTACATACCAAGTTTCTTTGCCCATTACCATTTACCTTATTTTACTTAATCTATTCAAATTCACATAGAAATGCTTTTGCAGAAAATGATGAAGACATTATATTATCTAAAAAGTTATTTTAAAAAAATTCATTCATAGATGGAAATACAGGCACCTTACTCATGCCCTCTCGGGCTTTTCTTTCCTAGTATATATTATATAAAAATGAGTTTTAGTCAAGCACATATTTGAATTTCAATCGCATAATTTGTGGTTAGTATTAGGATTTTACAGATATTGAACTTGGCTCACAACACTTGATATAACTTATGAAAGCTTGGTAATTGGATGAAATTACTTTTTTGGGCTGAATTGCGTGTGTTCGATGAATGTGCAATTATTGTATAGTTCTTGTTATTTAATTGCATGCCCTTAGAACCGTTTTTCCCTTTTGTTTTTCCATTTTTGCACTTTTTTCTTATATTTGTTTCTTTTTTCAATCTACAACTTTCGTCTTTTTGTTCTTAATTGTTTGTTACTTTATGTTATGGAATTCCTTTTTAAGAAATTTCATCCTTAATAATTCCATCTTCTTATTTCATTATTGAGATACTTAATTTTGGTGACTTTTTGCTACACTTGTGTATATATGCTTATGCTTGTTTGTGGATTCAAACTGAGCGAAAAGTTTGCCTTTAAACATCCTTGAATAATGGTAAAGTGTTTTTTTTCTCTTAAATGGTAAAGTTACATACCATTTGTTTTCATTTTCTCAAATTCTTAATTGCATGTATAGGTGGTAAACCAACCCACTTAACTAAATTTACCCATATTCGCCCATGTATGAATGGGTATAGGTATCTTAAATTTTTGTATATGGGTATAAATGGGTTACCCAATAATACCCATTTATTAAATGGGTATTATTGGGTAACCCATCAAATCCAATTAACCAATTTAGAATTCTCTTCCCCCAAATCTCTTCTCTTCCCCACCCATTTTTTTTTTCAAAATTTTTATTTTGTCATGATGTTAACTACTTTTGTTTCATTATTATTATTATTTGTTGGTTTTATCTTATTATTTTATTTTATCTTAGTTTGTTAACTTGCTCATTTTTCAACGTAACCAGTTTATGATAAATTTTAGGCTCTTTTCTTATCTTTCTAAAATGAAATTTTAAATTTATATATGAAAATAATGTTAAGGATTCAAAATTTTTGGTTTAAGTTTTATATTAACTTTTATAGTACTTAGTTCAAATTTTTATATTCTTATTATTCAATTATTAAATAATATGTAGTTTTGCTTCATAAAGTATAAATGGAAAAAAATTGGTAATTAGACTTATTGAGCATTACAAGTAAATATTTAAAACTAATGATGGATACAAAAAGCGGTATAAATTGATAACTTAGTTTGCAAAAATGAATTTAAATGAGTTTATAAAAAATTAAAATAAATGGGTTATAAATTGGTAATTGGGTTACCCAATTCATTTTTTAACTTACCCATTTATACCCATCTAATTGGATGAGTATAAATGGGTTGACTCACTTATACCCATTACCGATTTTACTCAAGCCAAATCCGTCCAAGTCACCCATTTTGACACCTCTAATTGCAGCAGGTATATATAAAGGCTTGAAAACGTGGTAGACTATCCCATTGGTTAATAAAGCGGCTGCAGATAGGCGTTTGACATAGATAATTTCTCTCTCATAATTTAATCGTTCATGTTCCCATATTTGCTGTTAAAACAGATGCAGCGGAACGGAAGAACAAACAAGAACAAGCAGGAACAAATTTGGGGGAAATCAGATTTTTATTAGGGTTCGGAATGTATCAGATATATTGTACAGAATAGATATAAGGTATATATATACAACCAAATAACCAAAACGGACTGGACCCAAAAATAGGTCCAAAAATCGAGACCCTAACTAAAATGGATGCGGTATCTAAGCGAAACCCCCGAACAGCTCAGCGGAGCTCGAATATCTGATTCAAAGCATTCAACATTTGCATTGCGAGGTAAAAAATTTTAGTGCATGCTTTCTCGTGTCTAGTACATGCCAAGTTTTCCTGTACATTACTCTTTACCTTGCTTTACTCAATCTATTCAAATTCACATGAACATTCAATTTGTAGAAAATCATGAATCCGTTATATTCTTTGAAAATCTATGTCCCAAAAAAAAAAAAACTTTAATGATAGTTGAAAACACAGGCACCTCACTCCTGCATCTTGCGCGAATAGTGAATTCATTTGGCTTTGGATTTGCTTATTGGTACCATGTTAGCAAGGAAAACGGAGTCCGGGCATTACAAGTCCCGTTTTACTCCACTTCGAAGTAAGATGGTGATTTTAACTTTTATTTTAATTTAATTACACCATTATGTAATTTTTTTTACAGCATCTTCTAACTCAGTTGCTCCAACAGCAAACTTATCTGGAATGAAACTTGTGTTGTGAATTTTGTGATCCCCGTCCCCAAGGAGAACAAAGAAAGCATTCATTACATACGAAGCGTATATCCTTGGACTAATTTCATTTTGTGCCCTAAGTTATGACTTATTCTCATTTTACACCCACCATTTTTGGGCATATTGCATTCTAAATTTTCAGATTGTTTCATTTTTGTCCAATTGTAACATTATTAAAAAAAATTAACAAGCACCATATGCACCTGTTATCCAGCAAATCAAGTGTCATTTAGTACCCCAAGCTTAAAACCATATTCATTTTGCACTCCAAACTCTAACATTTAGACACATAATCCCCTTGACTTTGTTATGGTGTATAGTAATAAACTTTTTAAATCTACAATAGGTATAGATAGATTTACATTTAATATTTGACCCATCTCGTTACTGTCAGATTGACAAAATTATTTAGATTAATATTCTATATACTGACAATGCATACACTGTCAAACATAGATGCATGCCATGTATGCTGTATTTGAATTTGAATTCCAAATTTTTTCTATATGATATGTATCTATATGTAATAATATATACATTGTAACTATATATAAATTAACTCAAATTATTTTTGCAAATTTTTTTCTTTGACGCGAGCATGTGTGCATATACACATCATTCTTTTGTTGATGATAACAAAGAGTGTACTTGATAGCAAATTATTTCTCAATTATTTTTTTGTCTCACATACAACATACAAAAAAAGTGTCACGATATTTTTTTCCAAAAAATTATCCCAAATAATCTCCTATCCAAATACACTCAATATTAATTGAACGTTCAACAAAAAATAAATAAAATTTAGTTGACCAACAACTTGTATGTACGTTATAAGCAATACATACATGTATGGCACCATTAATCCTATTCTAATCGTTGTACTTGTAACCAACATTTGAATTATGTTAGCCGTAATTAGTTGTCAACACTTATCCTGTCCAATACTTTGTCAAACTGTGAACCATAAGTTTTTATTGTTTATTAATTGGTAAATAAATAATATGTCAACTAGTGTATTGCCCTTTACTATTTATAACACCTAATTTAAAATTTTGACTTATTCCTCGGTTAGATATTTGTACATCAACCTTTATGGTGTAGGGTTTTTGGTCTTTATCCAAAAAAAAAACTTTTGTGTCTTAATTATTATTTGGTGATTATAGAAACATAAAAAGTTATAAAAGTAATTTTATGAATTTGATGTCGGCAAGAAACGTCAAGTACCAGGTAACACTATCTTCATATGCCGTTATCGCTACCACCCCTCTCAAATTCTCTCTTTCTGCCTCAATCAATAATGCCAGCCACTTTAGCTTCCATGTTCAAAAAAGGTATGCTGCGTTGGAATCAGATATCTTATACGATTCACATTTTTGCGTAACGTAACTATGATTTATATAGAATCTTATGGACTGAATTGTTGAAATGCTGCTCATTTGAAGTTTTAGAGATTATTCAGCAATTTGGCAAAGTCCCTTAGCTTTTATGCGCAACTAGTTGTTGCCTATTGTCTTCCGTTTTAACCCCAAAAAATGTGGGGACTAGGACTGGGAGAATAAAACATTAAGATAAGGAGTGAAACACTTTCATTTAGATGATAGGCTACATGACATAGCTTTGATTACATACGAAACTTAAATTAAGAAACCATGCAAGGAAACTATATAAGGCAATTCAAGAGCAATCATATTCCAACACAGCCACAAATCCTACATCCTACTAGATCTCCGCATTAGCAAGCCAAGCAAGATCAATTTTTGAAAACCAGTGGCATGCCTCGGTTTGTCCAGGAGAGGCTTTAAGAATCTTGAAGGCCACATGATCCGCTGAGAACGATGATGTATCCATGTGACATATTGCAAGGATTTTATTAACAGGAGCTCTTGTTTCGGGTTCCACCAAATCAACGGCATAAAGATGAGTTGAGGAGATCAAATGGCAAAAGTAGGCTGCAAATGGGAAGAAAACTTCATGACATGAGACAACTTTTTCAGCATCAAATTGCTTTATGTTTCCAATTATTAGCTCTTTTCCTGACCCTTTTGTACTTTTGGAAGTTAATGCAACCAACTGTTTTACACCTAAAACTTTCTTTGAGAATTCTATCATGTCTTCTAGTGATTTTGGGCAGCCCTTAATCTCCCCTTTTAGAGCTGGTGAACTACAGTACAGAAGGCTAGTTTCAATGGCTTCTTTTGTTGCAGGAGAAGTAAAAGACTCAGGAAACATTTTCTGGAGATCATTAGAGCTAGTGGATATCTTTGATGCAATTTGAGAAGGAAGAAAAGAGCGACGAGGAATTTGATTATTCAAATTTGGGAGGTGAACTCTATTCCCTGGTTCCAGGATTGACAGCCTAAAGAAAGAGTTGGGGTCAGCCTCATCGGCATGAAATGTGCGGCCGCCGTATCCGCTGTTGTATCCATCATCAAGTTTATGAAACTTTCCAGGCAAAACTGAACAAGCCAAATTAGCCATGGAGCAAAATTTGGCATGATCAGAAGAGAGTGATTGTTTGGATACTAAAGAAGCAAAATAATCAGAATCACGCTTAGACAGCGGTGATAATTTTGACAAAACTGATTCAGGCATATTATTGAGTACATTTTTAGACCAAAAGTTGAGCTGATTGGAGGCAGCAGATGTGGAAGCAAACGATGCAATTGTCACAGGAGTTGAATCAAGAGCTAGGAAAAGGAAGGTAAAGATCAAGGAAGATGTAAAGGAAAATTTAGCCATGTTTTCTTAGCTGAGAATAGCTCGAGGGAAAAGGATTCAGCTAGCATAATATTTATACTCGAAGAAAATAATATATTCCCAATAATAGAGAGTCTACAACAATGAGATATACTAGTATTGAATTTGGACCACCTTTTGTCATATTTAAGAAAGGACATTAGATCACATGCCATGTTGAAAAAAGGACGAAAACCTATGGGACATTAGTTATTATATCAATGGCAAGTTGAAGTCGTTTTGTCTCTCTCAAACAAAACTAATGAGGAAATTTGAGTTTATTGTGTAGTAAGCTTTATTTGTGATATAGCCTTTTAATTGAGTATTTTTCCTAGAGGCATGGTGTTTGGCATGTTAGTATCGATCGATCCGTGTTCCTATTTGTCTTGATTGACTCCTGTGACTTTCTTGTTATATGCTCAGTTTTGTCCTTAACAAGATGTAATTGATGATCAAAATTGGTCTCCAAAGATTAAAATCAATAATGAAGCAATTGCGAAAAAGTGGAAAACATGAAATATTGTTGATTTGATTATATCTCGTATAACATACTCTTCAAGGTAATTAGTACGGAAATTCTATTACTTTCAGAGTGCAAAATACACTATCACAAATGTATCTCAAGGGTTTCTTCACTGCCATTTTATCAAATTTGACCAAATGGAAAATGAGAAAAAAGGCTGCTGTTTGTGAGTCCTGTAAAATATATGTATGACTAAGTTTTAATCGATATCGGTTGAAACTGCAATATTGCATGAAAGTAAGCATGTGAATCGATTTGAACCCAAATTTTCAGACTTAAGCACAACCAAACCCAGGTGTTTTGAAAATTATGTACATGGGATGAGTTTGGTTTTATGTAATCCAAAATCGATTAATTAATGGGTCCAATGTAATTACATTTTGTAAGTGAAATTCCAACCATATATTACCTTGGAGGTCGGATGTCATTGAAATTTTTTTTTCTGAAGGAAATAAAAATAGAATTAGTCTATGTAACTTTATGATTTTGGTTCTTAATTTGCGCATGTTGTTGGATAATAATACGTTGTCTTTGTATTCCAACTTTTTTCTTGTTTTTAACCTAGTATCGTTTAGTTGTTAAGTTTATGATTTTTATGTGCATATTGTAGGAGGAAAATGGAAGTGCTATTACTTGGTTCGCGGCCTATTCAGAGAGGCATTAAAAGATGAAATTAAGTTGGATGTGAGTGTTTTTCAAAAATTATATATTTTAGAAATTCTTCCACTCTTGAATATCTCAAAATATTTGCTAAAAATATTTTAAAATATACTCTAAAAACTCTATTACAGCAAAATTTTTCAAAAATAACCCTAAAAACAGCTAATCCAAACGGAGTTTATATGTTTAACTGGAAACTGGTGGACCACTAGATTATGTTCCACGAATCTAGTGATTGAAACGGAATGGTTAAAATTTAGATTTTGGAGGTTTACAAAGTATAGGGGTAATTTCGAGATCTTTGATGATAAATTTGAGGAAAAATCAATCAAAACAATAAAAAAGCATAAAATAGGGGAAACAATGGACGGGGCAGGAACGGTTGCAGGTGCAACCATTCCAGACAATTTTGATCATTTTTAATAGCGCGTAACTTTAATTACATACGAAGTAACTTTTTTTGCATAACATGTAACTTTAGTACAAAATTTTATGGATCCACACACGTTGTGAAAATCGATGTACATCTAGTGATTTGAACCATATATATATTTTTTTGTCAAAATTTGACCGTCGACAGTTCAGATTTAGAATGATCGCTCGTACCCCTCACCGGAAACAATAAACACTGAGCAAAGTGTCAGTAAGTTTCAACTTTACAGACGTCTATGATGCTAGTCCTACTCATTACAGAGATACTAATGGATAACTACAGGATACCAATGCCGGGTAGAATTTGGGTTTAGATTTTCCTTTCCAAACCCATTAGCATTTGAGAATTTAATAGGTTTGACTTTTGATCTAGTTGTTACGTCCACTAGCATCTGAGTTTAGATCAAGTTCATTTCAAGCCACTCAATCGAGCGACAAGCCGAGACCACAATAACTCCAATGAAACGATGTTTAACTTTGGTATAAGAAACTAATGATTTTCTAATAACTCTAAAGACATCACATCAGTCACGTGAGCAAGTACTCTGTAATCAATAATGGAGATGGTAATTAACTGTCAATTTTATTTTGTATGACGTGCACGGAATATACATATCAATTTAATTCATTCATAATCAAATTTTACATTTATAAACTTCTAAATACCCGACACGCGATTTATCGCAAGTATACTAATCGTGAGCGAGTATAGGGTATTAAGAATCGATCCCACAAGAAAGATTGCAATTACCGACACTACTAAAGTTTCTATATTATTTAAACTATCAATGAATTATAATAAGTAAAACCTGCTGAACTTATACAAGAAAATAACAAATGGAAGCTCCTTGGGTTGTGGTATCCCTAACTATTCATGCAAGTGTGACTTTTGGATCATTGAGTACTACTATCTAGGCTAGCTATGGTGTAATTTCCTTATGCATTTGAATTCTACTTTCGTAGTGAATCAATTATACTCATAACTAATCCATACATATTCTCATGGTTATGAAATTAGTTACAAGTTCATTGCTTCAATGAAATTACATGAAATTAATCACCAAAACCATATAAGTGCACCTCTACTCTCGTGAGTGTACTATCTATGTTTAACACCTCTTGAACCAGTGTTGAATCTAATTTTTATTGCAGAAACAATACCTTAGATAATCAAGATTAATGGTACCAGATTAATCATGATTTAAAGAGTTAAAGTGTTAAATAACGTGCTCAAATACTAGCAACCAAATAGCCAAATAATAAATACTAACAATCATTGGAAGTTCAACCAAACCCAAGGCATAAACTTTAAAGACACATCATAAACACAAAATCCAGAACTTGTATATTAACTAAACTTAGAATCAAGTACAAAAGATAAAGAGTTGGAAAGAAAAGTAACCCCTGTCACATGAGCTCTTCCCTTGCCTTCTTCATCTCCATCTTCATCTTTGCCTAACTAATAAACAAGTAGGATGAACTATACTACTCTATACTCAACTACTAAACTAATTGAACTAAGAAAAACTAGTGAGAGCTACATTTTTGTGGAGTTTCTCTAGCCTCCCAAAGTTATGAAAATGTTGTTCAAGACTTATATTTATAGAGGAATTTCTTGTAATGGACAAGTGTTTAATCATGTATTGAACCCATAAACAAGCTAAAATGGAGTTGTAAAGCTTCTTTTGCAGCTGTCTTGGGCTGTTTCCACCGATAATCTTGCAGGAAAGGTTGGTCAAAAAGCTTGTGTGAACAGAACACAAGTTGGTAAGCCGAAAGTAGTGATCCGAGGGCTAGATCCGAGCTTGGATCGCTCAAATTACCCCTCGGATCGCATTTTTCTTCGTTTTTTTACCTTCACTGTTCATTGGGATCCGAGGCCTGCTACAGTGGATCCGAGCTCGGATCCTCTGGTCTCGGATCCACTTGTCCAGAAGATTAGATGAGGACTCGGATCATATTGGATCCGGGTTCGGATCGCTTGCTTTGTTTTTGATCCATTTCAACTGATATTTTCTCGATGTTAGAGGCTGAAATAGTTCTTATGTAAAACATGAAAGTTGTAGTTCTTTGAGTTAAATTTCCAATGCATCAAGAATCATCTAGTTTGGAGCTCTGTGGACTGATAAATGACCAAATTACCCTTGATTGGTCAGAAACTTGTTTCACCTTCGACCATAGAAAATGTACTTCAGTATTTCGACTTTTTGACTATGAAAACCAACGAACTGGACTTCAATGTTTTCGTACCAAATGTAGATATATCTCTTGGCTTCAAAATGATATAAGAATCACTTCAATCCGATCATTGTCGCTCAAGATATTGCCAAAATACCACAAGGTGTCAAAGCTGTGAAACTCCTTTTCTTTAGAACTTGATTGCATTTCATCTCTTGTACTTCATATTCTCTTTTTATCACTTAAAACCATCATCAATCATCCAATTCTCTTCTCAATTTATGTCATTTGATGATTGAATCATTAAACCTACAAAAATATGAAGTTTTCACCACAAAAAATCATAGGAATGCAATTTTTAACACTTAAACCCCTAAATGCATATTTTCACTAGAATCTTAGTTAATTAGCTATAAAGTTGTTAAAACACACCAAAACTAAATAATAAAACACACTTAAAACACTCAAAATATGCACTTATCAAACTCCCCCACACTTGAATTATTGCTTGTCCTCAAGCAATCAACACATCTCCGACAACAATGATTCAAGAGGTGAAACACTATATGCACTTTTTCAAATTAAATTCCGCATAACTTGGTAAACAATCATCATGCACTTTTTCAAATTAAATTCCGAGTACATTCCCAAAAAGTGTGACTTTTTAAACTAACTTCCCAAAGGGTGGTGATTTTTTAGTATCTTCCCAAAGGATGAAAAACGCATCCAGGAAATGCGTTTTTATAAATAAAATCGCAATTGTCAAATGCGTTATTTCAATTTTCATCAATTTATTTTAATATAAAAAAATTGGTTAAATAACGCATTATTAGAATGCCTGATTTTAAAAAGTCTCATAGGATGAATGCGTTTTTGGTCCTTAAAACCCATTTCTGAAATACGTTTATTAATAAAAAAACGCATTTGCTAAATGAGTTGTTTAGCATATCTAAGAAGCCTGTTCTACTCCCCGGTACTTCATAAGGGGTCTAAAAACTAATTTCCCCTCAATCCCTCTCTTTTTCTACCCTAACTTCTTCAGGCGCCAAACAAAACGCACCACCCATTCAATTTTTTCTTACATCTTATCCCACATTCGCAGCCAACGTAAGAGCAAGGGTGGTGATTGGGAGACTGCTGAGCTAATTAGGCATATTATCAGGTAATACTTAAAATCCCAAATTTAGGGTTTATGTAATGGATGCATTTAATTATTTTAAAGAGCAAAAAGCAAACCTGAGATGATTCTTTGGGGTTTATTGACAGAGGAAGATACCCTACAAAGGGCGAGAGTATTAGACAAAGAGATTCTGGAATTTTCTCAAATTCTACAGATCATCTACTCTCAGGTTTCTTTCTTTCTTTCTTTTTCCCTCTCAAGTAAGTGCTGAAATTTTTTTTTTCCCTCAAACTTAAAGTAAGTTTATTTTTTTGCAGATTCAAAGGATAAATTGTTGCCAGAGTATTCATTCTCTTCAAAGTGAGTGCTGAATTTCTTTTTCTTTTTTTTTCATACACTATTTTTGGTTGAAATATAAATGGCTTCCGTGTGTTTATGACATTTCTTCTACTAGTATACTTTTATATGTTGAGCTTCCAAGGTTGGAATTTTTGCTTCCTGTTGTTCTTGAAACCAATAAGAAGGGTGAAGCAATCAAAATAGTATAGAGCAATATGCATCCCGTACATTTATAGAAAAAGACAAAGTACGTGCCATCAACTAATGCATCATGAATTAAACTTCTAAAATCCGGATCTATTACTACTTGAATTCATAAATTTTTTACATCACCCAGTAATGCATCACTTAGATTCAAAAATGTATTGATCCATAATCTCTTGCACAATAATGAATTATAGAATACAAAGGAATTAAGCAATCCAGCAAACCCCAGCAGACAAAAAGTAAAAGATTTGGGAAAAGATATCCCCAACAGACCATAATATGAGATGATTATGTCAAGATGCTAAATTAGACTCCACACCTTGTACACTTTGCTGGAGATTACTTCAAAACTGAAGCAGGAGATATATTTTTCACCTTGTTTTCGAATTTTCTTTTTTTTTTTTACATGTCAGTGTAGTTAGCATTCAGTTAATTTATTTGAAGATATCTAACTTTCTCTCAGTTTACTTGTAAGAATGTACTTAATGTCAATTTAACTGGTCTGAACCATGATTTTGTTAGAAGAGGAGCAGGGGATTTTGTTAATCAGTCCAACAACTTGCCTTCTGAGCCACCCACTGCATGTGTTGTGTGCGTTCTTGTGTGCTTTTTTTAAATTCTCAAGACTTAGATACATGCAAGAGTTTAGATACAAAACGTAGCAGCATATTACATTCAACACTTTTGATACATGTATGTCTACTCTCTTTCAGTTATTGTTAGGTCGTTCTTGAAATATTTTCTTATTCTTTACTGGTTATTGGCGAATATGAATGTTGGCACTATAGATATTAATCTAAATTAATGTGTGGTCATGTCAAAATGAAAAGAAATAAGAGACTACTATAGACTTTTATTTTTGAAAGATTCTTTCACAGTATAGAACGTAATACCTGTGGACAGTTTAGAAGTTTAGGAGTTACCTACATTTACAAGATATGACTGGTTTTAAAATATACTTTTTATTTATAGTATTTTTCAACATTCGAGATGAATTGACTGTAGTTTACATTGCATTTGAAGGCTTGTTAGCATATGTTTTAATGGATCTTCAACATCCATTGAAACTTGCTTTATATTGGGATGGTCATATCCAATATTATCCTGATTTGGGATTTATAGGCCCAATTGGCAAGATAGTTACAATCAACCACAGGATAAGATTTGGAGACTTACTAAGTAATATACACTCATATATTGGAGTGGATACAATAACTATAGATTTGAAGCTCATCTGCAAATATCCTGATCATGGACCGTGGGGTTTCAAATTTTGCCCATTACTAATAATGAACGAAGAGGGAATGGATTTGATATTTTCTTTAGCAGCTGAGTACCCAAATACTATGGTTCATCTATACATTGTACGAGAATCAGTTGTCAATTGTCAGGAGGGCAATAACATCTTCACCAGTAAGGAAATGGCTCCATATGTAAATTTGCTGACACAAGATGTTGAATCTCCGATATTACCTGCACCTACAACTTCATGCACTCAATCTTTTCTTAAAGATAAGCATGGTGCACAATGGTTGCCATCTTCAAATAATGATATCATTTTTCGTGCAATGAGTAGTATGTCACCTTCATTGAAACCCATCCAATCATCATTACCTACTCCTTTAGTGTCACGGAATGCACTCGAATATACAGAACATAATGAAACTGCGAGTGCTAACCAACAAAGACAGGTGCATGTACTAGAAGATGATGTTGGCTGTTCTAGTTTATTTCAATTGGATCATAATAGAGAAGAAATTGGAACTATGAGAACCATTTTAGCAGCTGAAGAACCTATTGTTGGGGCTGAAATTGGAAATGCACTTGGGATAACTGATGTGATTCATAACTTAGTCCAGAATGAAGCATCTTTGCCGTCTAGAGATGATGCTTTCATTGATGCTGAACAAGGGCAGTCTGATGAAGACAGTGATTGCAATGTCGAGGTTGAAAATGAACAATGCACTTTTGGGGAGGATAATGGTCATACTAGTAATAATGTTACTTTTAGTCCTGAATTACCTGCTTACAATCCACCCGGAATGCCTTTTTATTTAGATATTGGAGATCTTGACAAATTTGTTGTCACTGGTAGGGGATCTCCTACAAGGATAGACTTTTGGAGTGAAAATAGTGTTGGTATTCGCAAGCATATGCGATTCAGTGACAAAGAGCAATTGATGATGGCAGTCCGACTTTGGTCTATGGAGCAATGCCGCGAGTTTCAAGTTCAAGAGAGTCGAAGTACAGCATGGAAAGTAAAATGTTTAAAATCTGATGAAGGCTGCAAATGGCAACTTAGAGCTTGTTTGAAAGCTACACATAAAACTTGGGAAGTTACTAAGTTGATTCCAGACCATACTTGTACTTCAACGGCATCAACAAATGATCATAGGCATCTTCAATCGAGGATCATTGCTCGCAGAATTGTGCATTTTATTAAAGAAAATGCACTTGCTAGTGTCAAGCAAGTTCAAACTCATGTTAAAAAAACTTTGCATTATGATGTGTCATACAAGAAGGCATGGATTGCTCGATGTAAAGCTATTGAAATGGTCTTTGGTGATTGGCCAACCTCATTCACAAAACTACCTAGGTTCATGGCAGCTATGGTATATTATAATCCTGGTACTATTGTTGTTTGGGAACACCACCCGTGCAGTTCAGAAATTTTGAAGACATTTGGCTATATGTTCTGGGCTTTCAAGCCAGCAATTGATGGTTTTTTGTCATGCCGATCTGTAATTAGTGTGGATGGAACATTTCTTCACACTCCATACAAGGCTAAGTTGCTACTTGCAGTCGGACAAGATGCAAACAATCAAATTTTTCCTTTGGCATATGCTTATGTGGATGAAGAGACCAATGAAAGCTGGAATTGGTTCTTGCGTCTTCTTCGTCAACATGTTCTTAAAGAAAGACAAGTTTGCTTGATTTCTGATCGTCATAAAGGAATATTAAATGCAATTAGATTGCAGAGGCTTTGGCAACCGCCATATGCAGTTCATCGACTTTGCTTGCGACATGTTAGGAGTAACTTTAACACAAAGTTTCATAACACGCATCTAAAGAAATTGTGTTGGGATGCTGGTTCTACCCCTCAAAAGCGCAAGTTCACCAAGATAATGGCAGAAATTGAGAGGATTGATGCAAAAGCTGCTAAATATCTAAGAGAAATAGGGAAAGAAGAGCTATGGACCTTAGCTTATGATGGGGGGTACCGACATGGAATGTTGACAACTAATATTTCTGAGAGTTTCAACAATGCAATCAAAGGTGTTCGTAATCTGCCTATTAGAGCTGCCGTTGAACTAGTATTCACTCGAATAGTTAAGATGTTTCAAGATAAGAAGGAGGATGCTCTACATTGTCAACATCCACTTCCAAAAAGGCCATGGAAGATATATCGAGAGGCTGAAATTAAAGGCAGAAAACATAGTGCTGTGCAATTCTCTTTAAGTGATGGCATTTTCAATATATTGACACACATAGATGAATCTGGAAAAGGAGGAAACACACAAACGGTATGTATGAAAGAAAGATCGTGCACGTGTGGTAAATGGATGATCACTCGCATCCCATGCTCCCATGCTATGCTTGCATGTCGTATGATGAGCATTAATCCTATTACACTTGTGGGCCAGGAGTACCACAAGAACTTGTATTTAAAGACGTGTAGTGGGCAATTTCATCCTATACAACATGAGGATTATTGGCCTGGTCAACCATTTTCATTAGTAGGAGATATGACTCGTATGCGTCCACCACATCAAGGACGCACATCTACAGCACGTATTCACAATGAGATGGATGAGCGAGAAGATGATGCTCCTAGATGTCGAACCTGCCACCTTCCGGGTCATAATAGGAAAAATTGTCCAAGGTTGTCTTCTAATCAGTCAAGGCTATCTTATAATCAATCATAGTTCTACAGAGTCATAATTGGATTTTGGTATTCTTTCATTAGAGGGTCTAACATTGACTTCTAATCAATCATTGATTTGTATGTTTGAAATTAAATCCTTCAAGTGTTATTTTCTAATAATATTATCTTTTTTTTTTGGATTTTAGGACATATGGATAATGAACAATTAGTTGCATTTGTTCCTGGTCCTATTATTGGAGATGTATTGACGCGCCAACCCCACCATCGATCCACAGATATTTGGATAGGTGCTGGACACTATAGGCCATTACAAGTTCGGAGACATGACGGTGAATTTTGGAGAGGAATTCCATTCGATCCTAGGGTGCAAAGGTATATTGATGAAGCTGGCTTTGGTGGTGTTGTGCGCACAGGTCAAATACAACTCGACCACGCACTTGTCACAGCTTTGGTTGAGCGTTGGCGAACTGAAACTCACTCATTTCATCTTCCTATTGGTGAAGCTACCGTCACTTTACAAGATATAGGGATATTATGGGGGCTTCCTATTGACGGACAGCCTGTTATAGGTGTGGACACACATCGAAAATCAGAGGATTGGTTGCCGATTTGTGAGGACTTGTTAGGATTTCGACCTAAAACAGATGATATTAAGGGAGGGAAACTATTATTGGGTTGTTTAGATGCTCCCTTAGCTGTCAGACTTCCTAGTGATGCATCAGATGATGATATTAGATGTCATGCTAGGATGCGTATTTTACAGCTTATTGGTGGTCACCTGTTTTCAGATAAATCTGGCAACATGGTCAGCCTAATGTATTTGTCATTTCTAAGAGATTTTACTGTTACTCGAACATATAGTTGGGGGAGTGCAGTTCTTGCTTTTTTATATCGTGGACTATGTAGAGCTACTCTTTGTACCTCACAAGAGATTGCTGGACCATTGGTTCTTTTACAGGTATTTTCACTAAAACTCTTTGAATTTTTTTTTTGGTTTCTAACAATTATGACCTATTCTTGTTAAATATCCTAATTTTTGTTTTAGCTTTGGACATGGGAACGATTTCCTACCTTATGTCCAGATAGGCCAGTGCCTAAAATGGAGTTGCCAGCTGAGAGTCCTTATGGTGCAAGGTTAGTTTGTATCTGCCTATTAGTGTTAGGATATATTAGGTATATAATTTAGATACATTACCGTAACAATGACGGTGTATTGTTGATTATTCTGTAGGTGGAATGTCGATTTTAACCTTTCTAGAGTAGCAATGCATGTATTAGTTGTATATCGAGATCAACTAGATAGCTTGAGAGATGATCATGTAAGTATTTATTTCATGCATATTTCATGTATCATGGTAAATTGCAAGTTACAACCAAATTTTTTTAGTTTATTTTGTAATTTTCCATTTTGTTATTCATAGTTTGTATGGCAACCATATCCTCAACACATTTTAGAGACATTGCCTCAGTGTTGTTTGGCTAGTTCTGAATTGTGGCGTAGTCGAACTGCACTTATTTGTTGGGATATAGTAGAGCTACACCTACCAGATAGGTGTATGCGACAATTTGGATTTGTTCAGCATATTCCGGCACCATGTGACACGGATTGGAGTTTGCATCAAGTGGATCGTCGAGGTAGACGAAATACAGATTGGACCCTTAAACACTACCGCCACATCCAAATGTGGATGGATCGAGCTTCAAGTATACAAGAAGGTGAACTCGAGGAGGTTCCTGGTGAGGCTAGCTTAGAGTATATGACTTGGTATAAGCAGCGTACAAGATTGCTTATTGGCAACCCATCATTGAGACCACTATTACCAGCTGGTTATCAGGGTATTGCACCAGCTAATGAGATGATGGTAACCATTATTTAGATATTTTTAATTGACTACTTTGTTTAAAGTTTTGTATTGGCAGCATTAGAATTTATTTTGATAACATTTCAGGTAGATACATTGCATCGTGTCTATTATAGATCACTTGAAGCATTACCACATGCTGAGGCCATCTCTGTTCCTGCTCTCACTGATATTCGGGATATGTGCCAATCAACTATGCGTGCCATTGGATGTGAGATGAGATTGAAACTCCTACCATTGAATCCAATAATGCCGCTCTCAATGGATGAAGAGTTGCAACATGTAGTTCCACGGGCACGTGTTCGAAGAGCCACACAAGAAGGTTCACAAAGAATCCATAGAGGGGGACGAAGGCGAAAACACATCCAAACTGATCAAAACAGTGTACAAAATCAGATTTTAAGTCAGGATGAGTTTGTAGGAGATCATATGTTGAATCAAGAGACTAGAGACGTGGGAAATGAGGAAACAGCTAATGAGTTCAATCAGACATGTGATCGGACTTCTGAAATCAATCTCGATCAAGGTCAAGGGGATGAACATACAGAAGCTGATACAACACATGCACAAGCTGGTGAACATGATCTGACGCATGTGCAAAGTGATAAGCATGATCAGACACATCTGGAGTTTGATTTGCAACATCAAACACAAGAACATGTTGATCGAAATAAGCGTGACACTTGTAAAGGTCGTGGTAAAAATCAGCATCTACCCTTGCGGCCACCATCTAAAAGAGTCAGAAGGCAAAAGTTGTGTTACTCTGGAGGCATTCTCAAATGATTTATTGTACTTGTCTTGTTATAAGAATTCTTATTGTATAAGAGAATTTGGATTGAAAACCAAGTAAATTTAGTATATGAAATTAGATGTGATATTATATCATCTTATGACATATTTGAATATGCAAGTGTTTGCTTAACAGGTGATATAAATTAAGCACTGCCCTCCCTTAGAAGGAAATTGGAGCTCATTGCTAACAAAAGATTGTGAAAATTTACCTTTATACCCTAATTATTTGGAGAAACCTAATGGCCAAATTTTGCAAAAGAAACTTGTTTCTTGTCAACAAATTAAGTAACTGATTAAACTAATTAAATTACCTACGAGTGTTACTTTCGCGCAATTAATTTACGTTAAATATAAAACCTACAAGTTTTTCATAAAGAACTGGTATGTCATGGGCAATTTAATTTTGTTTTAACTTTCAAATATTTAATTTATGTTAAATACAAAACATACTAGTTTTCCTTTCATAAAAATATTAGTATAACACTTTTTAAATTTTACTTACAAACATTTATATATTTAACATAAATTATATGATTCAGAGTAAAATGCCTGCCCCCATAGCTAGTACTTTATTCAACTAATCGAAGAAACCCATAAAGAGTTGGTAAAAAGTGGGTAATTTCTTTTTTTTACTTTCACGTATTTAATTTATATTAAATACAAAACCTACTAGTTTTCCTTTCGTAATAATATTATTATAATACTTTTTGAATTTTACTACCAACATTTGAGATACAAAATTAGTGTATACATATGTAAAATCCAAAGTTCAAAACCTTTAAGCCTTTTGCAAACCTGAAATGAAATCTCTACCAACTAAATTAATAACAACTATGAAATAACAATTTTTTTGGATCTTGACTTCCATTAGTGAGCTAAATTAATAATAACTTCGATAAAATAATAAGATAATATTTAAAACAAAAACCTTACATAATCGAAGTCCAGAATGAAGAAATGAAAAAAAGTGGTACATATTGTAAACAAACAACGCATTCATCTAATGCGTTTTATTATAAAATAACGCATTTCCGAAATGCGTTTTATGGTGAGATCAAAAAACGCATTCTAATAATGCGTTATTTGACCAATTTTTTCATATTAAAATAAATTGATGAAAAATAAAATAACGCATTTGACAATTGCATTTTTATTTATAAAAACGCATTCCCTGGATGCGTTTTTCATCCTTTGGGAAGATACTAAAAAAACACCACCCTTTGGGAAGTTAGTTTAAAAAGTCACACTTTTTGGGAATTTACTCATTAAATTCCTCATAACTTGGTAAACAATCATCATGCACTTGTTCAATTTACACTCAATACTTATAATATCAAGTAAAGGAAAGATAATTATGCCCTAAATTCAACAAGTTAAACTTAATCTTTCACCCTAACCTAATTTCACAAATAAGCAAGTCATATAGTCAATTTATACCTTTCCTCCTCCCAAAATCATCTCTTTTCTCAAAATGTTTAGCTAAGACGGATTTACGGCCGGATATCTTACTTAAATAGTGAAAACGTCTTTTGACGCGAAGATCGACACTTTTAGGTGAAGAACTCCGATTACTCAACATTTCATTTCTTTAAATTGCTATGCATACTCTTAATTCAAGTACCCCTTACGCAAATGTCGACATTTGTAAATACCGAACCCGGTTACTGGGTATGTGAATCATTGGAATAGAACAAAAATTACTCTTATTCTTTTTTTTTTGTTTTTCTTTTTCAAAAGTAAAAGACAATAAATAGATATTCCCTCTTAATAAATATGCAAGAATAATCAAAGAAAAAGTATAGCTTTTATTGACTATATCAATCACTTACTTACAAAATTAAGTAAAGAGGAGAAATCATATTAAACATGTAAAATTATAGACATAATTCTCCTCACTTTACTAGATATATTTTCTAAAATGCAAAAATTCTAATTGCATAATAATCATTTCCAAGTCAAATGAGAATTAAATCTTCCAAAATATATATAAAGTTTCCAAAAGTGGAATAATTAGACATTTAAAGTTGGAACAATTTGGCCCGCCCTTTTTAAATAAAAGTGCAAAAATTTGAAGAATTTTTTGGCCATAGTGAAATATTGGAAAAGATTTTAGAAAAATTTGGACAGAGTTTACCCTTATAAATGGATGAAACTCCCTGCCAACAAACCCAATTTCAAGAAAATTATCCACATGGCAAGTATTTCAAACACAATTCCAACATTTTTAAGCATTTAAATCCACAAAATATCATCACGTGGTATTAGAATGCAAGTTCAAACATTTCCCTCCCCCACACTTAAACTTCACATTGTCCTCAATGTGAGAAAGAAAAAATAACAAAAGTAAGAGAAAGTAGTACTCCCCTAATAAACTTGTGCTATCCAAATCCATGGCCAAGCAATGAACTTCCAACCTTATTTGCAAAGAAAGGAGGGTTTAATTAATGCACCACTTCAAATGGCAAACTCAAGAAAAAAAAAACTAAAACTTCCAAGAAGTAAGCATGCTAATCAAGGGAAAAGGGACAAGGATCAAGCATGTGGAACCATACAATGTTCACGGGATAAAAACATGAAATGAGCTAATCTTTGCTAATCAAGTATATGCATTAGTATCCAAAACAAAATAAAGCTAATTTCACAAATAAGCTCATCATCATGAACAAAATAAGCTCCATTTTTACATTTTGTCATCAATGATCAAGTCCCCTCAAGTACAAAATGAAGGAGGAAGAAAGGGAAGAATAAGGAAAAGTGATCTGAGCATTTGTTTTTGAAAAGATCCGAGGTTGGATCATAATGAGTGAGCTTGGATCAAAAAACTCAAATTTTTCTCTGATTGCAAAAGTAGATCCGAGGCCTCATATCCATTGATTCTGCACTTATTGCAGAAGTTTCTGCAATTTTCAGTTTGACCCCAATTTGAAACACACTTTCCAATTCGTGCTCTACAATGAAATTTTTAACAATTCAACACTTCACGCACATGAAAAGTGACTTAAACATGAATCTCAAAACCTCAAAACAAATTAAAAATATGTAGAATACAATTTGAGGGTTGAGATTCTTAGATCAAATAGTCCCCTTGACACTTCCAATGCACGTGATGGTGCTCAAATGGCTCAAAAGAGTGCAAATAGGTTATGAACACATTTAAACACTTGAATGCACTTCAACTTCATGCAAAAGACTGACTTAACCTCATATCATGAAATTAAGCATTGTAAACTAAAAAATTAAGGTTAAACTTCCCTTTTTTACATCGGTCTCCACTCCTTATAAACTTTTTTGCATTTGAAATAATTTGCATGAACCCTTGCCATTGTCACCTATAAAACACACAAAAACACTAGTTAAACAACTAAAAACTACTAAAAACAAGAAATCGTTGGGTTGCCTGTGACGCCTCCACTTCTCCCAATGGCGAACCCAAGGGTATCGGCGGGACACCTGCCTAACTCTCACCAGGATTTGGTACTAATTAAATTTACACTCAATAATAACCAATCGATACTAAAATCGGAAAGATAAAGGAAGGTCAATTTCTCCATAAACGTTCAAGTCTTATATCATAATCTACCCAGTTACTTTACATTCCCAAAATACACAGATTCCAAAATCAAATTCTAAACAAATACATCCATAATTCTAATCAAGTGAAGCCAAGAAAACATGCAAGACAAGTAATTCAATAATAATAGCACTTACACAATAGTGAAAACTATAACATTCAAGAAATTTCACAATTTATAATAAACACCCTTAAATAGGATGCAGAAGCTCTCCGGAGCTAATGATTTCTTACTTTGCCCAAATTCAATTTTAATACCTTCTCGTGACGACACCCCATCCTCCGGGTAGGTAATTGAATTCGTAGCACTTCACATATTCCATGTATGTTTTTGAGACGATTCGAGAGGTACCTCCCACCCAAATCGGTGTGGTACTTACTATCGTTCAGAGGTCGATGAGATATCGCTACAATCGACTTAGAGTGTTTTAGGGTTCTGAGACGATTCGAGAGGTACCTCCCACCCGGATCGGTGTGGTACTTACTATCGTTCAGAGGTCTAGGGTACTGAGACGACTCGAGAGGTACCTCCCACCCGAATCGGTGTGGTACTTACTATCATTCAGTTTATAGTTCTGAGACGATTCGAGAGGTACCTCCCACCCAAATCGGTGTGGTACTTGCTATCGTTCAGAGGTCGATGAGACATCGCTCCAATCGACTTATACAGCCATAGCAATTTTTTCAAGTCAAATCAGGTCAAGCAAGTCAGGTTAGGTCAAGACAAATCAGGTTAAGTAAGTCACGTTAGGTCAAGCACGAGTCATTTATTTCAAATGAGAACGAGTGCGATAAAGTACACACTCGGCTCGGCAAGTTTACGTATCATGTATAACACTTGTACATCTAATATCTCAATCACATAAGTATTTAACACATACTTGACACTCATCTAGTCAAAACAAGTGAGTAAGCGCCCAAACAAGTGTTTAGACGTCCGCTTCGAGTCCCTCTTGAAGGTCCCCTTGAGCGCCTGAGCAAAGAACCATAAATTATTATACACTATCACTTAGAACTCCTACTTATCAAAGAAAGTTGTACTAGTGTACAATCTAAGGAGAATTCATGAATTGAACCTTAATTATTTATAATCGAGACTCGGAAGTGGGTTTCAAAAACACAAGAGAAATCTGATTTTTGCCTTTGAAATCAAGTGTAAAACGGTCTAGCAATATCGGAGGAAAATGGAGAGTTTGAAACCCTCAATTTCCTTTAAGTTCGGAAATTTCAGATTCGGTAAGCAAACTTTAAAAAATCAGATCTCTCTTTCTATGAGTCCAAAATTGGAAAACTTAGTACCGTTGGAAACTATTTCCAAAGTACTAAAAGTTTCTAGAAGTCACTTTTCCATGATTCCAAACGGAAGGTATTCAAAATTTGTCTCAAAGTTGCTGTTTTGGCTTGCAAGATAGTTTCGGGGTTGGTTTTCGGCAAAGTTTGGAAATTCAGCAAAATTCACACAATGTGAACCAGTCTCTGAAATTTGGAACTCAATTAGAATCGCAAACAAAGTTTAAAACATAATAAGCAGAACAAGAATCGGAGTTTTGAACACCAAGATATAGT